CACCGTATATTTTAAGATAAAAAAAATTGATTTGATGCCTATTTTAATTTACATGGGGGATAACACAGAGGGGACCTGTAACCTAGCCACAGCTACTTACAATTATTGAATGTGTTGCAAAGACTTAAGTCTGTTCCAGTCCACTGCATTACTATAACATAATAAAAGGCAATTTATTATCATGTCTAAGACAATCTTATGAATGATTATTTCAATCCTAACCCCATCAGAGTGTGTACCTGAAACAAATCCCTTTAAAATGACAGCGTGGGAAAGAATGTGACCAAACTCTGCACATCAGGGGGGTAGAGTGAATCAGCTGCTACAGTCATTTTAATTGTGTTTTATTCTGGAGCTTTGTCTAGTGAAATTAGAAATGATATATTTATTGTCTGTTTAACACTTAACAAATCCAGTGATTAAAAGGAAAAACAGTATTTAGACTTAAATTATTATAATTTATAGGTTTATTTCTGAAAAGCCTTCTTATGGTACAATTTTCTGATAGATGATCGATGATGATATGATAGAGCAGCAACTCAGGTGACCTCTTACCTCTTGCTTTTAAAGCAGTCCTGTCACAATTTAAAAAAAGGAAACACAATTTCTCAGGAGTTAAATCTTAAAAATACATTCAAGTCCCTTAACTATTAACACAAGTGTATTTTATTTGTGCATCACTCAGCTGTAGATCCTCAAATCATCTCTGAATTCATACAAACACTGTCCTTCCTTCTGGGGAGTGGCTATTTTGTTCTCCATGGTCCCTTATGTGTGTTATAAAGTAGCCACCGCTCCAAGCTTGCTCTTGCGATGGACTACAATCTCAATACAAACTAGTAAACTAAACATAAGATTGTAGACCATCATGGGAGCAAACTGTGAGTGGTAGCTACCTTACAACACACACAGGGACCATGGGAAACAAAAGCTTCCAAAAGGAAGGACAGTGTCAGCAGAAATTCCGAGCTGATCTGAACATCTACAGCTAAGTGATACACAAATAAAATACATTTTTGTTAATAGTTAAGGGCCTTGAATACATTATTAAAATGTAACTTCTGAGTTTAGTATTAGTTTAGGACTCGCATGTCCCTGAACTTTGCTATCTTGAGGAGGTGTTTTAGGTAAAAAATCTTCTGCATTTGACACTTTAAGGTGTGTTGGATGCCAGTGTTTGTGGCTTCATCTGTATACCCCTATGTCACTACGGGTACAGCCGTGCCAAAGGGAAGCACAAAGTTCAGAATGGGGGAGGGTGGAAGCTCTGATTAACACATCAAAATGGTAAAGTTGGGTGACAGGTAAGTATTGTGTGTTTTCATTTACATTTTTTACTTTAGCAACAGAATTGCTTTAAAAAATAGCTGTACTTTCAGTACAATGATCGCCATTGTACTGAAATGGTAGACTCAGAGTGTGAAACTACCTAGAAGGTGACACAGACAGCAATACAATGGTTACAAAAGTTCTAATCCTTCCTTACTCTATCCAAAATGGAGAAATATAATATACTTTGTGATACCCTCCTAACAGAATCAAGACATTTCCTCATGTTCTCATGTAGTCAGTGGAATGGTCTTCTTTCTGAAGCCTGTACCATGTAAGGCAAGTTTGGACCTGAACCCCCTACAGTGGTTGTGTTTGGAAATACCTATACTGTATCCCAGACAGAAGCAAAATGGGTTCCTAGTTTACTATACCGTTGGGAAATTCTGAACATGGCTTCAGTCAGGCTATAGGCCTGGTGGTTTGGTCTTGTTCCCTTCATCTCCTCTATTCTTGTATTGAGTTAATAAACCAGAATGAGTGGATGTGTGAAAGTTTGTTATGTGGGAACAAGTAAGAGAGACTCTGGTAGACTCTTGCTCCGAGTGACCTTGTAATGGCTTAATATTGAGACTATATTTTTGGAAATATACAGAGTTTTGGATGTCTACAGGGCTACATATGTGGCTCTGGCTGGTATTTATGAGGGATATGTCATATGTTAATCAGCTTGAATGGTCAAGAGGGTATAAATACATACTGAAATGTAAACAACTTGCTGTTAAAGTGTCACATACAGTATATACGTTACGCATCATAAACATATTACTGCACAAAACAGTGGTCTGGATTATTCTACAGCTATACTATGGGATAAAGAGAAAAGGGTGGACTGGTGCTTTACAGCAAAATGCTCCCTTTATACTGGAATTCATTTTAGGAATTTATTTTGAATGTTCACTGAAGTGCCAAAATAGGATTATAATTTACATGTATTGTTTTCTTGCTTCTTGTTCTCAGTCTAAGTAAGACGAACAAAGACCGCCTTTCATATAACTATATCTATAAGTAAATTGGGCCAGTGGTTGGCCAGAATAACATTGCAAATAGGTGAATGCTCCTAAGAGAAAATTATGTGAAACTAGCTCTTTATTAGAAGCTCATAAACAGTAAAAAAAACAGACATAATTATGCTTCACTACTAGTCAACTAACACAGAAGGTATTAATCTCAAATTAAGTGTAGAAATAGTCATAATAACACAGAGAGCATTAGCTAGGAATGGAACACCAGTTGAAGTGTAATTAGGACATGTTCCCAATATAATCAGCATTGTTTTATGCTGTGAAAAGCCATTCGCTTGTAAGAAATATATATTCTCTAATAGGAGATGAAGGAATATGGCACAGGCAGGAGTCCTGAAAGTATTTGGGAAATTGTTTTGCTTTAATTCATACTATAATGAGGTCTCTAGTAGCTGAGGGAAATAAAAGTTATTTGGACAAGTGGACCTTTGGTTGTGCATTTTTTACTTTAATTGAATGAGAACTATTAGGAAGTGTTAAAACAGAGCCTGCATCGCTATTTTGGTTTAGACACATTGACCGTATCCAAAGCCCATTCTTTCTTTGATGGTATTTTTACTGTCTTATGAAAATTCATAGTGGAGATTTTTACTTTTATAATAAAATGTGTAAGCATGGTATATGTAAATATAATTACCTTAGATTTTTGCATATGTGCATTGCAGCATAACTGTATTTCATTGAAAAGTAAGGGGGG